TGATCACCATTTACAGACGAAACATCAAATCGACTGGGACTCTGAGACATGTATTACGTATTCTCAGACTACTATCAACGACCCACTTTAGAAATCTGGTTTACTAACTGAGAGCAACCGTCATTGAATCGTAGTCAACAGTTGCCGGTACAAACGACTTTATCGACGGACTCAAGCAAAACTAATTACGAGAGAGTGACCGGACAACCGACAATTTGACTGACATATCCGACTTTTTCACTGTGCATAGTGCACACAGCGAACTAGGGATCAGAGAATTCGTCAAGTGGTCGAGTTTGGTCGCTTACTAGAGCTTAGAAACAATGGATAATCATTAAACTTTCAGGCCCAAAAAGTGGTCGCGGTGGCTTACGGGAGATGGTCACTTACTAGGGGTTCTAACTGTAAGGCTGTAACAGGGAAAGTTTTAGTGCATGAGTTTTGGATAGGCGGTCTCTTATGGGAAGTGTTCGCTTACGAGAAGTGGTCCCACATGGATGTTCGACTGTACCATCAACTGACTTAATACAACTCACTTTGACTCTGCAGATGATTACCGCGTGTCAGTCAATGTCAATGCAACAGTCCTATTTAGTACTACGTCAGCCCTCGGACGATCATGCTCATCCTACTCATAGATCTACTTATAAGAAAATAGGAGAGGAAAAGAAAAACTCCTCAGGTTTTTACAGCGAGTTAGACTTAATCTGGAAACAGCTGTGGAACTATTATAGTTTTTTGAAAACCCACAAGCTTAAAATACCAGTAACTTTCTCAGTGTTTTGGGGGTAAAGAAATAGATTTTCTTTTCAAATGCTAAACACTTGTGTTCCGCTGCCCAGAGATGTTAACCCTTAGAAATAAGTTCACTTTCCCAAATTTGAGTTTTCTGAACTGATGTTTCCGCTGGTCCGGTTTGTAGTTTGTTGACAACAGATTTATTTTTTCAGTGGAAGGTAGATGAATGTACAATGAGTAGAGTAGACAGACAATTTTTATTATATAAACGCCAATGAAATACCAAGTGAGCTTTCGCGCGAAAACTTGTTATCTTCACATGTGAAAATGTCACCTTTGCTATGGCTTCATAATGAGCCGCACCTTTAAGACGAACAAACTATTTAAGTAAAATGGTTTGGTATTTCATTGGTGTTTATATAATAAATAGAACATCACATGGTCGCTTGGAGATACGAAATTTCTGCTCTCGTGTTGAAAAAAATATTTCACTGGTGAGCGCAGCGAACGAGTGAAATATTTTTCAACACTCGAAGGGAAGTTTCGCATCTCCTTGCGGCCATATAAATAGAGGATATTACACGGTGGCGCGAAGATAGAATTTTATTTTCGAGTGGCAAAACAATATTTTACGAACGAGCGCAGCGAGTGAGTAAAATATTGTTTTTGCCACTCGAAAATAAAATTCATATCTTCAAGCCGCCGTGTAATGTTCTTTTTATTATATAGACAAAATGACATCAATAAAGTAGTAGAGGGAAATTACCAAGATTACGTCATCGATAACCTCACGTGTGAGTTTATGGAAAATAAACCACTCGGGTCCCGAATGTAGTTTTTATGAATTTCACGAGTGGTATATTTTCCAGTAAAACACTCGTGTCTATATAATAATATCCTCTATATATACACCATGTTTAAACTATGGTAAATTTCGATCATTATCACCAAACGAATGTTAACATTTTCCTTTTTAGAGAAGACCCCAATCAGATTATACAACGATGAAAAACACGTGCAAGGATCCCTTTTTAAGGCAAATCAAATGCGACTATGATGGGCAAAAACGAATAGTAAAAGAGCTAATAAATAAGCTTTTACTCCAGCTTCAAATTTTACTTTTCAGACCCTCTTCGTTATCCCACATAAAGAGAAATGGTATCAGCAGAAAAAAGAAACCACAGTATGAGGCTGAGCTGAAATAGCAAAGCCAGCAAAAAAAATATGACAACCACAGGTATTAATGGTAATATTGGCGACCCCTTTGTCAACTTTAAAGGTTTCCAGCACGCCCTAGGCATCGCCTATTACAGACTGGGAGATTTCCGGAAAGCCATAGAGTACCATGAACGACACCTCGAAATTTCGAAAGAAATGGGAGACAGGGCAGGAGAAGGAAGAGCTTGCTGTAATCTTGGCAACGCCTATTACAGTCTTGGAGATTTCCAGAGAGCCATAGAGTACCATGAACGACACCTCAAAATTTCGAAAGAAGTGGGACGCAGGGCAGGAGAAGGAAGAGCTTACTGTAATCTTGGCAACGCCTATGACAGTCTTGGATATTTCCAGAAAGCCATAGAGTACCATGAACGAGACCTCAAAATTTCGAAAGAAATGGGAGACAGGGCAGGAGAAGGAAGAGCTTACTGTAATCTTGGCAACGCCTATTACAGTCTTGGAGATTTCCAGAGAGCCATAGAGTACCATGAACGACACCTCAAAATTTCGAAAGAAGTGGGACGCAGGGCAGGAGAAGGAAGAGCTTACTGTAATCTTGGCAACGCCTATTACAGTCTTGGAGATTTCCAGAGAGCCATAGAGTACCATGAACGAGACCTCAAAATTTCGAAAGAAGTGGCAGACAGGGCTGGAGAAGGAAGAGCGTACGGTAATCTTGGCAACGCCTATCTTAGTCTTGGAGATTTCCAGAAAGCCATAGAGTACCATGAACGACACCTCAAAATTTCGAAAGAAATGGGAGACAGGGTAGGAGAAGGAAAAGCGTACGGTAATCTTGGCAACGCCTGTGACAGTCTTGGAGATTTCCAGAAAGCCATAGAGTACCATGAACGACACCTCAAAATTTCGAAAGAAGTGGGAGACAGGGCAGGAGAAGGAAGTGCGTACGGTAATCTTGGCAACGCCTATAGAAATCTTGGAGATTTCCAGAGAGCCATAGAGTACCATGAACGACGCCTCAAAATTTCGAAAGAAGTGGGAGACAGGGCTGGAGAAGGAAGAGCGTACGGTAATCTTGGCAACGCCTATTACAGTCTTGGAGATCTCCAGAAAGCCATAGAGTACCATGAACGACACCTCAAAATTTCGAAAGAAGTGGGAGACAGGAAAGGAGAAGGAAGTGCGTACGGTAATCTTGGCAACGACTATCACAGTCTTGGACATTTCCAGAAAGCCGTAGAGTACCATCAACGACTCCTCAAATTTTCGAAAGAAGTGGGAGACAGGGCAGGAGAAGGAAGTGCGTACGGTAATCTTGGCAACGCCTATTTTCGTCTTGGAGATTTCCAGAAAGCCATAGAGTACCATGAACGAGACCTCAAAATTTCGAAAGAAGTGGGAGACAGGGCAGGAGAAGGAAGAGGGTACGGTAATCTTGGCACCGCCTATCACAGTCTTGGAGATTTCCAGAAGGCCGTTCAGTGTTATAAGAACAGTGTTACAACCTTCGACCACATTAGGGGAAATCTCATATCTAATGACGAATGGAAGATTACCCTTAAAAGTACGTATGATCATATTCATTTGAGGCTGTGGGAGCTGCAGTTTAAGGAAGGTAAAGTCATTGAGGCACTTTTAACTGCTGATCAAGGACGTGCAGGAGCCTTAAATGATCTTCTGGAGTCCAAGTATGGCCTTAAAGGGTTACGCCCACAGATAGGAACACTTTCTGCAACACCAAGTGACTTTGCTGGTTACTTACCACCAAATACAGTTTTTATGGGTATCACCGAGGGAGGAATAGTTCTCTGGGTGAACGACAAAGTAAAAGAAATCAAAACCAGAAGAACTGTGATCGATATCTCAACCTATCTCAATATCACAACCTATTTTCAGCGTCTTTTGGAAACTACACGTGAAGAAATAGGTTTGAAAGCTGATGTTAATTGTGAAGATCGCTCATTAAGGAACCCAAGCGATAAACAGTTAGCAGACGAAAGATCCAGTGAGCCAAGGTCTAATTCCTCATCTTTTGAGGAGACAAAGTCATTACAAACATTGTACAATGTTGTTATAGGCCCCATAAGAGACTTACTCGACGGCGATCAAATTGTGATTGTTCCAGAAGGACCTCTGTGTTTGGCGCCTTATGCTGCTTTTATGGACATGAATTCAAAGTACCTCTGCGAAACTTTCAGAATTCGTCTGCTCCCCTCGCTTTCTAGTCTTCGATTAATCCAAGACTGTCCAGCAGATTGGCACAGCAAGACTGGCGCTCTTCTCGTCGGCGATCCGTGGGTACAGGAGGTAACGACGCTAGAGCAGTTAGCGTGGGCCGAAAAAGAAGTGCAGATGATTGGGAAAATTATTCACACTGTACCTCTCGTTGGAAAGCAGGCAACAAAAGATGAAGTTTTGAGACGTATCTCCTCTGTTGCTTTGGTGCATATTGCTGCTCACGGCGAAATGGAAACGGGAGAAATTGCATTGGCCCCTAACACAACAAGTTCATCCGGAAATCCACCTAGGGAGGAGGACTATCTCTTAACTATGAGAGATGTTTTAGATGCGCAGATTAGGGCAAGACTTGTTGTACTTAGTTGTTGTCATAGTGCTCGGGGAGAAGTCAAATCTGAGGGTGTGGTCGGCATCGCACGGGCTTTCTTGGGTGCTGGTGCTCGTGCTGTTCTGGTGTCCCTGTGGGCGATCGACGACAAAGCTACTATGGAGTTCATGAAAGTTTTCTACCAAGAACTAGTCCATAGACGAAGTGCCAGTGAGGCCCTGAATAAAGCCATGAAATCCATGAGAGAATCTGACGACTTCAGCGCAGTGAGGTACTGGGCGCCTTTTGTTCTCATTGGTGATGACGTAACGCTCGAGTTTGAAGGCATCAATTAAATAGCAAGGTATTTTGCAATATATTTAATCCTGGGATCATAATCCCTGCATTTGCAATCGTCATTTTAACTAGCAATTATTTTTTTTCATTTATCGGGCAACGAACTCAACCAATGCCACGTGTAGCGTCGATCTGCTTACCACTGGTCAAGTTGACAGTAAGAAAGAAAACTTTGTTTGGCAGTCAAACATTACAAAATTTATTTCAAATTTCGTGATTTCTTTACATTTAAGAGTGACGGTGATCCTGTTTGAGCTCTTTCCGAATGATTGTAACTTACAGTCGAACCTAACGTAAGGGACCACCCAAAATTCCGGTCGCTTACGGAAGGTGTTCGCTTAGGAGAGTTTCTATGTTTGGTGTTCTGAGTGGGAACATTTGGTATTGGGTGGTTGCTTATAAGATTCAATATTCTAACCAACAGCTGAAAGTAAATCCTATATTAATTTCCCCAGGGATTTATTTATTTCAAGGACGTTTGAGAAGGGGGGGGGGGGGGAGGGGAGGGGCTTATTCAATTAACCGAATATCGTAGTGTCCATAAAGAACTAGAACACAAAGTGGAAAAGCTTCTAGTTGGAGGTCATACGGCCGAAGAAAAACAGTTAACCAGTCTGAACGTTCAGTCTAGTTACATTTGCACCTATCATATATGTCTATTGAATAAGAATAGTGGTGGGGCTTGAAAGAGAGAGGGGGGCCGGCTGTCACGCTTTCTTTCTCTGAAAAAATTGGAGGGTTTGGAGAGGGGTGGAGGGGGGGGCTTTATTAAGCATTTTCGGTTGTAAATATCGGTTAATCTGCAATGAGGTTTCCCGTTCGATGTGAGTTACAGGTTTTAATGGTATTCTATGCTCGAAATGATTTCGAAGTCAGCGCCAAATTATTAACTGATTGACTTCGCTGGCTGAATTCACTATTCTTCTGCAGCTTACTAACGTTTCTCCTTGCTGTTTTTGCTGTATAGTTACGATGAGGAATGCATTGAAGCAGTTCCTAGACTTTCCAATTATCTGAAGTTGAAGACAGTTTTAATTTTTATCACAATTACGAGGTGGAGCGTTCCTCGCAAGGATGGCAACTCTTTATCTTGAAGAGAAAGAAAATGATGCTTCGTCTTTTGATTTATTTGTTTTTGTCCCATTACAGGCTGTAGAATTTAGATAAATGTACAGAAAAAGATGGTGACGGGGAAGCCTGAACTGGAAGCCTGGGGCTTAGGTAGGGTCCAGGCTCATCCCAGGTTAGTTTAACTAGACGTAAAGAAGAGGAAAGACGCCATTTTATAAAATCAACAATAGATTGCTGAGATACAGAAAAAAGGAGTAGAATCAACATCAGTTTCAAACAAAATTACTTAAAAAATAGGAGGAAGTTGAGTTACATATAATCATTTAAAAAATATAAGGAGATTTAGTTGGATTATAAATAATAGAGATGGTGACATATTAGTTAGAAATATTTCGACAAAAGTTCACATTTAAGGGAAAATTGAAAATTAGCTAGACCATGTCATGGTAGTTAAATGTTTGTTTAGGTCCAGTTTAAACGTCGAACTTCTCATATGCAGAATCTAATGCATAAATTACTAAAATTTGTTTTCACTTCTAAGCGTTTTAGACTGTTGAACATCATGAAAATGAATTGAGTCCAACTAAATAAGTTCAACATCTGAATCAACCGTCGAATGACTCATCATTTGGGTTGACCTAAATGGGTATTAAGTTTGATACATGAAAAGATCGACGTTTGAACTTGGAGAGTTCCAAAAGTGTGTGCGTCAGCAAGATATTTTATTTGTTTTAAGGTTGTGCGAGGCTTTATATTGGGTCGAAGATACTGAGCAAATTGAGTTTTGTAATCATGAAGCTAAGAACTTAATAGAACCAGATGTGAAAAGACTGTCGAGGCGCGAAGGCAATGTAAGGAGAGACTTTCCATTAATTCTTTATTTGTCTCGAATTTCATATCTTTGACGTTGTTTTTACTAATTCATACTGAAGTTGCATGAATAAAGATGTTTTAGCTCCGCAAAAAGGTTCGTGCCATTTTATTGTCCTTTAATTTGCTTTGTGTCCGCTAAGTAATAATTGTAGAAAAGCCAACAGTGTTCCTTAAAAAACAAAACTCATGATTGTTCGTTCTCTCTTCAATTATTAACATTTTACTTCAACGATGACTTTTAAAAGGATAATTAGTTTCTGAATAATGGTTATTTAACTTCGGTCTATCTATCGTGATTTTACAACTGGACGACATCTATTCATAGGCCTTTTGTACTGGTGCCTCTTGTTTAAATGTGCAATTTAGCTGTCTATTTGCCAACAAATATTTCATTAAGTTGTTAGTCAAAAGAGGCAACAGGTGAATTTTAAATATGAAAGGTTTTGCTATCTAGCTTGCAATTTTTTTTAAATAGATCGGTTTTGGTTTAAGGTGAAAACTTGCAATTAGTCTGCGCTTCTTTCTGTTGAAACAGCCGCTCGCTGAACTTGCATTTTCATTCATATTGTAACACTTTGTACATAAGCTCTGTTCTGCTGACCTGGCTAGTTCTTATTTTCAGCACTTCAGACTTTCTAAAATAGCAACAGTATTAACAAAAGACTTCGGGTTAAAAATAGAGTTTGCATTTAGGACCCTCATTTAGTTTTCAAAGTTTCTTTTGTCTTCAGTGGTTGTAGAAATCATATTTAATATAAGTAAGCTAGTTTTTGCTGTTTTTCGATTATTTTTGCTGTGTCCTTCCTGAGTTAATTATTGCCATTTGATCCGCTGAAGAATAAACGCTGTTGGAGCCAAAGTTTAGTCCTGTTTAATCTACTCCTGTGTTTGCTGTACCAGTTAGTGGTTTGATCATATCCCAGTCCTACAGAGAAATGACGGCTCTTCCCCGCAAGCGTCGGATCGTTTCAGAGTGGAAAAACCTTCCGTCACAGCAATAGATAATAAGTTACATGTGATGGCTTTTTCTTTTACTTTTTCGTCAAGCCAATGCGAATTTAAAGTTGACATAAATACAAATCTGTGGACCCTATAATTGACGATCCTTGCGTTGAACATCTTGAACTTTTCATGATCATAATATGCCCCAAACACTAGCCTGCGTGACAGGCGCTAAAGGGGTGGAGGGGGTGGAGTGTAAGAAAGAGAAGAAGGGATCTCCTCTCCTTTTTTTCCTCCCTCCTTCTTTTCTTTCGTACTCCCCACCCCCCCGCCCCCCCACTCCTCTTTTAACGCCTTTTAACCCAAATACTGATAATAAGGTCTGTTAATGTTAAGCCGTTCGACGTTTCCCTTCCACAGAAAGACGTAAAAAAAAAGAAATGACAGAAACGTCTCACAACAACCAGCCATTTCTTTGAAGTACGATTAAGTAACCGTTAAGAGAAAATTTTCAGGAAAGTTCTTTTCATTTGTGAGTGATTTATACTTGGGACCTCGTAAGACATTAAAATGGATTAAGTCCTATCCTTGATGGCAAGGATTGAGACCGAGGCATACCTTTCGCGGAGGATGGTTTTGGATTCATTTACACACCTCATACAACCCAGCCCAACATCGTAGCCATGAGTTTAATATCATTAGCCATGTTTTTTTATCAAGCAAAAATGGCCGATGCCCTTCATTTTGACGCCCTTGGTTTTTATGCATGCCCAATAGGGCAGTAGTGTAGGAGCTCTTCGTAAGGTCTCTCCTAATTGGTCGCAGGAAACAATGACATGTCATTCTTTCTATTGTTTTAGTATTGTTTGGAGTCAGGGAAACGCACCATTGGCCCAATATAGAGCTTAAGCAAAGGCGTTTTTGAACGGCGCATGTCAACCGGAAGTGAGGCCTTTTCCATTTTAATGCACCGTCATGTGACGCTACCACATTTGTGCTGCGACTGTATTTTCTCTTAATGAACTTGCTCATGAATGCAAAAAGTCCACTTGTGATTGGCGTACGTCGCTCAAAAACGCCTTTGCTCAGGACAGTGTACGTTGTGAACCAACACAACCAGAACTTCCGGTTTGAGTTTCCGACAACTTCCGGTAGTCCATGGATCAGCATTTCCAGAAGTTCCCAAACAAACACGACAACCTCGTGAGGTAAATCCAAACTTTTCGAAAATTTTTTCTAAGTAGTTTTCTTTTCATTCACTCCTATTCCTAGAACTTACATGGAGTTGGGGGCGGGGAGAGTCAAAAAATGATTCCAGGGGAGAAGTTGACGGGTGGCGGTGATCAATGTACTTCTGGGACGCGCTTTCCTTAAATAAAAAAAAGTAAACACTTGTCAGGCTAATAGTTTTACATGATTTGCTCCTTCAGAAGACGGGGCTCCCAGGCTTCAAATCTAACACTGGCATAATTTTTGGCAATTCAACATTACTGGCATGCGCTTGATTTTCATATTTTTTACCAAACAAAAGCACTGCTAGCATAATTTCACTTTTGGCTAGTTTTGCAGCGTACAATTGTCCCGAAATCAGTGCTACAGCCAAATTTAAGTTACAAAGTCATTTTTTTGTTTGCTTATAATTGTAACTGGGACCTGGGTCTTACACGAAGTGACCCAGGACTTTTTCCTCAGGATTCAACGCATCCGCATAAAAAGCTCGGTTTATACGATAACGAAAACGTCCGCGTGCTGGTTTTCGATATTGATTGAGTTTTTATATTAAAGCTGCCAGACAATGAATTATGCTGTCTTTGACTACCTAGTCGAAATAAAGCCCGGGAGGTACTCCTTGGAATTCTTGGGGGGTATGCGCACCCAGTTCTCCAAATCCTGACGCTATTTTAGACCAAAGAAATGTCATTTTTCACACAGGTTTCATACCTGGCTTCTAAAATCCATACCTGTTTTCAAACCTAGCCTGAGAAATTATCACGATCAATATATAAGGTTTATATATAGAGAGAAAACCGTTTACAGTACAGGCACGTGAAGCACACAGGAGAGATGAAACACACATTTTATGTAAGGTAAGCTGTTTTTTTAATCGAAATCCTTTCATTTTCGTAGGTTAAAGAAATGATAGGTTTTTCCCCCATACAATCCTTATATTTCGAATGTTACGCAACAATGCCGATGCTCGCCGATACTTATATTTCGATCTTGGGCTACCTGTGATGTAAGTGCTACAGTTTGCGAGCACAATCTATCAAAGCCAAGAGAGAATATCTCATTATCTCTCGTCAAAGCCTACTCCTGATAAGATAAAATTTTAAGAAGACACGAGAATATAACAAAATATGCAAGGTCGATACTTAAAAAACAAAAGAACTATGACAGTTTTATAATTTTCACTGTCTTCTCCAGCACGCGCCCATGTAGCCTGGGTACAAGAGAAAGGAGCATCTTCGGTACTCATACCTTGGCTCCTACTAGATGAAGGTCAAAATGATGCAACGTGGTCCTGCACGTGGAAAGTTGGAAGCTGAACGAACGTTCGTGTTTTGATACGAAAAGTAGTGAAAATGTGAATTCTCAGTGGTTTTTTCGCCTATTTGAAACCCTCTGGTAATTTATTATATCATTTATGTTCTTGACCTCGTAAACACTGCCTTTTTTTACTCCGGTGAGTAAAAAATCGCGTTTCTTTTAGCTCCATGTGCAAAGTGAAGTCGACGACGACCATTTTTTGGATGCGTTTTCATGGCCGATAATTTGCTACAAGGGCTTCAGGTGGCCGCAAATGCGACATCACAGGCAGGGGTGAGTTTCTCGCTAACTATTTTTCTTTTGAACCGTTCGGTTGGCGATGGAACATCATATAGCAATGCAATCGTACATAGATTATACATGGTCATTAACATTATCCTTATTAATTTTTCAAAATACCGCAAAATTTGGTAGAAATCTGATGAGATACATGTCTGTACAACATATTTTAAAATTTATCTCAGCAAATGTTTCTTGAAACTTCGTCACTGAAACATGCAAACAACGTCCTGAAACTACCAGGCGTAGATTATGTTGCGAAAAACTGGGCACTAGCAATGACGTTAAAGGCTTTGCCATTGGTTCATTTCTGGAGCGTATTGTTGTTGAAAGAGCAAATGATGACCTCTGTTTGAAAAACGATAAAAATGCTGGTCTGATCAGCCAATCGATTTCTAGCGAATTTTCCCGGAAAATAACCACAAAATTCACCGTTTTTTACCAATTGTTTTTAGGGAAAGTTTCCCCCCCTCCCCCCCAAAAAAAAACAGGAAATTGGACAATTTTTCTGGGAATTTGTCCCTAAAAATCCTGCAAAATTTGACTTATTTTTCATGACCTATGAGAAACCCGTATAGTATGGCGCGATCCATCAGATTTGAAAATATCATCGATAGAAGTCGGTATATATTTGGAGATAAACTGGCTTTGTTTATGCGATTTGGCATATTTTTTATGATGTAAGCAAAGCAAGATAATATGAAATGTTTGTTTTAACTTTACTCTTTTAATTAGGCAGGTACAAAAGTCGGACCGGATCAACTCGGACCGCCAGTCTGGGTCAGATCAACTCGGATCGACTCGGACCAACTCGGATCGAATAAAAAAATAAAAATAAAATAAAACTGGACTCGGATCAACTCGGATCATAAAAAAAAACAACTCGGATTATAAAAAGAAAAATAAAATCAGTCGGTATCTCTCAACTTTCACCCGCCATTTTGTTTTTTTTCTCACGAACTCGTGGTTGCGTAAATTAATTTTATTTTTATTTTTGTTAATTTTAATGATACACTAGTGAGCAGCACACATACACTTCCAGTGAACATTTTCACTTGGAAGGAGGAGAAACCATGCTCACCCGGGACAAAGAAAATTTTCGTACCCAAGGCGAGAATTGAACTCACGACCCTCCGAATACTACATGAAAATCGGACGTTCCAACCACTGAACCGGAGGGTCGCGAGTTTGGTTCGTGTCGTGGGCATGGAAATTTCCTTTGTCCTGGGCGAGCATGGTTTCTCCTCCTTCCAAGTTGAAATTGTTCACTGGAAATGTATGTGTGCTGCTCACTAGTGTATCATTAAAATTAAGTTTCAGAAGTTCTGCAGAAAAAAAAAAACAAACAGGAACAAACAAACAAACACTCTTCGGTAATGCGATCAACAGACAAGGCTTTTGACGATTTTCTCATAAATAATTCAGTATTCTAATAAATAAGAAAATATATACATTCTAGGCGACTGAAACTATCATTTCTTTACTGTCCAACCACAACCACGAGTTTATAACATGATCCGAGACGGACTGGCACTAGTAAAACAAAATGGCGCCTGAAAGCCACGGAGAAAAAAAGGATCTGGCCTTTTTTTACCCTCCAAATGGGTTAAACTTTCAGTTTTGCTGATTTAATTTAATTTTTTTGATTGCTCCGAGTTGATCCGAGTCCAATTTTATTTTTTTTTTATTTTTTTATTCGATCCGAGTTGGTCCGAGTCGATCCGAGTTGATCCGACCCGGACTGGCGGTCCGAGTTGACCCGGTCCGACTTTTGTACCTGCCTCTTTTAATTTAAATCTAAAGCATAGAGAAATCTGGTTGCCACTTTGGTGACTAAACCAAAACTTTTAGTCACCAAGGAGAAAATGTTAGTTGCATTGGCGACCTTATCACTCACAATTTCGAGCCCTGATGTGTCATAAAGTTTTTATAGTGGGGTTTCACTGTACCTGCAAAAAGGCAAGACATCAACATCCCACAAACAAGCCAGGGCTGGGGTGAAAACAAGAATTGGGGCAAGTGAGATTTCAATTTGACTTGCTGAATGCTCCCAATGTTCTTGTGGCTCCAACATAAAAAACAACAGCAATCACCTGCTTGTCTTGCCAGCGACACAGGCTAATCAGTTATATGTAACTAGACTTGTCATAAAGTGTGTTGCAGTTATTGAAAAAGATAACTATTTGAAAAACTGTTTGTGTGATTTTACCTATGTATATACCCCGTTGATACAGTTGAGACTCTGGACAGTACACTCCTCTTAAGTAGACAGCTCTTCTTTCAACTTATATCAGTTTTTTCACGTACCTGCTGTTACCCTTCAAATCACCACTTGAATTTTATGCTTGTGCCTGAATTACAGCATTGTCAGAGCAACTGTATCAAACAGTTTTTTTTGGTATCCCAGTATTTATTCATTACAGAAATGCACCCATTGATAATTGATGATAATGAAAAATGACATAGTGAGAGTGTCAATCAAGAAATCCCCTGTATATATCCTTTTCCTGATTATTGTTCTTGCTAGGAATACCTCAAATAATTTAAGAATAAAACTTCATGCAACTAACAATACTTCAGTCTATCTGTCTAAATTTAATCCCAATTAGCACATGTAATTCAAACCCTTTAAAATTGATTCCAACACTTGAAATAATGGTAACATACCAATTCGTATTGTTTCTGCATTGCTTCTGGAAGGTGTGAGAATTGTCAATCACTATAAAGTTAATAAGAGACTGAAAATTGGTTTATGGGTACCCCACTATTTACATTTGGCATTTATTAAGGGATGCCAAACTGTAATGTTGTAGCTGAGTAAGCTGCCATTATATAAGCTGCCAATGATATAACCCTTTCACCTCTAGTGGCTGCAGACGAGAACCATTCTTGTAAGTGATAAGCTTCAGTTATGGAGACATTTCTCTCATCTCAAGGGTGCCACTCATATGAGCATCTATTCTAGGACATGTACTTAGTTCTAGTATCACATCAACTCTCTTGTGTATGGGTGTGATGTAAGAAAATTTCATCTGCCTTTAGCCTCCCACGCAGACGTTGTTAGGGGTTCGTCACGCGTTCCTGCCCCAGGAACGTCTGCTGACTTGAGCAGAAAAAAATGTAGACCAATCACAGCCGACTTCCAGGTCTGGGAAGTGCACTTTGGACCTTGAGAAATTTTGCACTTGACTTTATAGCTCCAAAAAAGATCAGAAAGGTCTCATGAGAGGTGAAGAGCTTACAGTTGTAGAACAAACTTACTATTCAGTTAACTCACAAGCGTTCTTACTAGTGGCTACCCTCACAAACTCATTGAAAAAATTACCTTGAACGTTAAATTTGCTGAACGGAAGTCGGCTTTACTTCAAAGCAATAAGGTTTGAAAAAAATTCTGCCTTTTGTTCAGTCTTACAAGGCAACCCCGCCATTGCATCACCCAAAGAACAACTTTATCAGCAAACAACATCTAATCCAGCCTTTACAGAGAGAAACATACAACAACCCATCGCTTATCTCCTAGATTCTCGTCGGGAGCAAAAATCTTTGGTCACGCATCACACTCTACAGAGCTTGTACGTATGTGTTTGGCTTGTCAACACTTTGACTTCAACAGTGCCGATTGGATCTCCAATAATCTGCACGTGATCTCCAGCTGATATTTGCGAACAATGGTTCAGCAGATGTTTGTAGGGCAGGAACGCGTGACAAACCCCTAGGAACGTCTGCATGGGAGGCTAATCTGCCTTTGCGTTATTGGTCTTCTATATTGGTTTCTTTTTTGTTGTTGTTTTAGTGATGAAAGTGTCAAGTTCTTTTGCTTTCAAGTATTAGAGCATCACATAAAAACAAGGTAAAATTAAACATTGATAATTTCTAATTATAATGATTAATAATAAATTTTACATAATTATTATAATGTGGCATCCATTTTAAAATAATTATTAATCTTCCTTCCATGGAAAAATCAAAAAGGTTTTATTCTGTTGGTTGGTCCACCATTTTAAATTTTTGTCCACCAAATTATTCTAAATAACTGTTATTAAAAGATGTTATAATTAATAAATCAGATAATTTAATTTTTAAATATTTACTCACTTGGTATGATATTATGTAGGCTATTATGATTAAAAACATTCAACTAGAGACAACTGGGTTTAATTGTTTTCTTACCAGGAATAACTTATAAACATTTGATCACTAGCTGTATTCAGTACACACACGCTTCAGTCTCCTGAACTGTACAAGACATCTTCGATGATCTTGCCCAAAAAAATGGCTTTGTTTTTTTTTTATTGTTATTCTGTACACAGACATGTGTCATCAAATCTTGTAGATCAACAAGCACTCAGAGAGATTCTTTTGACCTGGCTACGAAATCAGGTACACTAGGCTAATTTACTCTACAGTAGAATCCCAAGGAACATTTTCTCTTTTATTGCCCCTCACCCTAGATTGCATTGTCTGTCTTTAGGTGAAAAAGGATTGTCTTGCTAATACCTTTGACATATAATTATGGTCTAGACTCTCTCTTTGTCTTTCATCAAAATTGAAACAACTTGTTTTGTGTCAAAAAGAGAAAAATAGTCAAACGTTGTTTTTTATAGTTGTGCAAAGATACCTAAAAGTGGACATAAGTATTTTCATTGCGATTTTCCATTGACCCTTGTTGCAACTTTTCAGTGTTGTACCGAGTCAGATAACAAGAATTTCTTGAAGAACAAGGCAGCACAAGTCTTTAGCTTGATCTTTGTCTGTGATTATCCTGAGAAGGTTAGCTGATTTATTGTTATGTCAAGTGTAATGAGCGTGAATACTGATACCCTAAAATTGTAACTTAATTGTGCCCAGAATTCATTCAGTGTGAGAGAACTTCATTTAATTTCCTGCCTGCTCTTTCACAAGCTCAGCCAGCAAGAAAAACATTTTTTTCGCATTTAAACCTATTGACAATCAGGTAACAACTGCGACTCTTGGTGAAAGTGGGTGCCCAGGATGACCAGGGTCTTGCGCTTTTGTCACAGTCAGCCCTTAGACAGTGTTTTGCCCTCAAGCCTTCCAGCCATGAGCCCCCACACCAATGGAACCAGGCACCTGTCCCAATGATTTATCTGATAAAAATTAAAGGGAGGGAAGGGTTGGGGGAAAGAGACAATCTAAAGGCTGAACAAATCGAGTAATCGCCTTGAAAGCATTGTACTAAGCACATGGAGCTGATGTTAGCAAGGGTGACTGCGCTTGAGCCACCAAACTGACTGCTGAGCAACAACACACGACGGCGCTCCTTGTTATTAACTGCGTTAAATGTTGTTTAACTTCATGTTACATTTCTCTTCTCCCTGTAGTGGCCGTTGTTTTTCTCAGACCTCCTCCAGTGCTTGCCATATGGAGCATTAGCTGTGAATATGTACCTTAGGATTTTGAAGGCAATTGATGAGGAAGCGGTTGATAGAGATGTGATAAGGAGTCAACAGGTTAATTTTGTGAATTGTTTTAAAAACTGTAATGCTATAATTTCCATTGGTGAAAATATATCTCCAACAGAGAGGGGTACAATCAAACAGAAATTGATAACCTATTCAATCTATATAATACTGTACTACCTAACATCTCATACGAGCAGCTTGCAGCCACTGAAGAACCCATTTTAGTGGGTGTCTTTAAAGCGGGTTTGGACTTTACCTAAATTTTTTAAAGGTTGTCATTCAAGTTGTTTTTGTTGTGACAAAGTCCACCATGCCACACACATGAAGTCGTTGGTGCTAATAATTGAATCTAAACATGATGTGCAAAGGGCTACACTCTACATGTGTGAAATTGCTCCTTATGAAAATCAAAATCGTTTGGAGTTAAAAAACTGCTTCTAGAGTTGCTTGTCACATCTTGAAACTTGTGTAAAGACTCAAATATTTGATTTAAGACTGTCAACTTTTGTGGAGTTTCCGTTGGTTGTACTTGTGCAAGTTTGTAAAACCATTTACTGATCAATCAGTTTAGAAGCTGAATGAAATTTTTCTTCCATGAACAGGAAGCAGAGAGGAACACGAAAATTAAAGATCACATCAGGGATACGTGCATCACAGAGCTCGTTGACTCTTGGTTTCAGATTCTGGTAGGTGGGAATCTTGTATTTTGGTACAACAATGAGGTTGAGGTTTCGCTGACTGTTTTTTTATTATGTTTTGTATGCAGAAAACATATGAAAATAGCGTGTCATCAATAACATGCCTTTGCCTGGACATTATTGGAGCATAATTATATTGAATGGATCGATATTGGCCTAATTGCAAACGACAGGTTTATCAGGTAATGTTCATTGTAAAAGGGGCAGAGTAAAGTTAATGCAGACTGTGGACTGACTGTGGACTACGCAGAATAATATTTTTAGGGTTAGAAAACATTGGGACTTTTGGTGAAAGAATGAAAGATGGTAAAATTTGAATGTACACCCTGTAGTATAATTTATGGCCTCTCTCTCCATGAGTTCTGCGTAGGTCAAGTGGATAGAGCATCCGCCCGGTGTATCTAAGTAAGAGATTATTGATTTGCTAGCACAATTTCAAACTGTGTTCTTAAGCAAGACAATACTTTAGAGAGACTGAGAGTTGTATTGTCAGGAAACAGAAAATGTCAGATTCAAGTTTAGAATTTCTCAAAATTGAAAACGTGCAGCTAAAAACAAGACATAACTAATGTGAAGCTACTAAGTTTGTGGTAGAATTAGTAAACAGTAAATTGCGCAACAAAGTTAAGGGAAAACTTGGTCACATGGTATGAATTTCACGTTTGCTGTAAACATAACTCTAAATCTTTCTACAATCCTGGACAAATATGCTTGGGACAGTACTGCAATATTCATGTTTTTCTGTCATTTCTCGGTTCCCTCTTAAAACAGTGCGATCCTTTTCAAAATCTTCTTGCAGTTCTCCCCCCACCCCACCCTATACAAAGTAGAAAGTCGGTAAAAATTCAGGATAGTCGATACACACGTCCAACATGGGTGAGGGAGGGTTGGGCCTGTGTGAATTGGAAAATGTCCCTGAGAAATGCAGAAGTGTTCCAAGACTTTTGGTAGAATATCAGAAACTTTGCTCACCAATTATGGAAAGGTACTAAACTCTGTAATTTATCTACATTACATTTTTATTAAGGCATGGGTCGCACTTGGGAAAAGTTTTCATCTTTGCCGGCTAAAAAACCACAAAAATTCGAAACCGCAACCGGAAAAGAAAACTTTTAGTCCAACCGAGGAGGGTCGCATTAGTGGGAGTTAATAGTTTTTGCTTTGACACATTGAGAACTTAAGAACGCCAGATACCAGAAAACATTTTTCTCTTCTTCGACCGAACCTTTGTCGAAGGATCTTTTTCCTCCATTCCCAGTTTCAGGAGGATGTGACAGATAAAGAAGACCAGAAAGTGCTTGGATGCGAATAGTGCATTTGGCTTGGAGAATAACAAACATGTGAAGTGTTTGCTTGTGTAGACGGGGACTCAACTGGTTCGCCTTCAATAGAGCTTGTTCCCGTAAAAACCTTAAAATAGCGAAGGTTTATAAGCGTGTTAAGTCCTCGCCTGTAGAGAGTTTTCGAAAAAAACTTGAAATGGCGAAGGATAGCCGAGTAGACGCCTCTTCGCGAAGGTCTGAAAATTCGACCACGTTTATTTTAAATTGATCGTGTTTCAAATGGATCACGTTCATGACAAGGCGCTGACAGTTACCGCTGTGATTCCTATTGTTTAGCTCGAGTTTTCCAAAATCTGCCTGCCCCACCCAAGCACTACGGCGTCTTTGATATTTTTGCCGATTTTCAAAGTTTTTTCCAACTTGAAAACTCGGGGTCGCACTTAGCAATGTCCACCGATGACAGATTTCTACCGCAAGGTAAACAAATTCTCCCAAAAATTTGCCAAGTGCGACCCATGCCTAAAACTATTTTTTTGGTATTAATGGCCTCGTTTAATAAAACACTTTAAAAAAGTCAAACTTCTGTAGAGCTGATACCCCCAACCGAAACAATCTAGAAAGAGCTCAAAAAGAGATGCAGTTTTTTTAGTTTGTTGTTATAATTCAGCACTGAATACGAGAAAGGTCGTAACAGGTTTTTTTCGTGTTCCAGTTACTCTTATAATTATGCCAAGCATGGCCAATACTTGTTTAAGTGAAAGCGTAGGCTAGAAAGATTTTCCTGGTGATCGCTTTGCAAATGTGTAGCAAATTAGAATGCTGAGTTTACAGTAGTGCGAGGGCCGGCATAACTTATCTTAGAGAAGCCCCTAACATTCTTTTCTGTGGTGTTCCGCTTTTTAAGAGCGTTATCGAGGAGCAGCTTCTGTTGAATCGAGTGGCTAATGCCTGTATCAACTTGTTTGCTATGACGGCTTTGATTTCCAGAGCAGCGCGATCCATAAACCAAGTGCCAGCCATGAGGTGAGTGATAGGTAGCGTATTTAAATAAATGTAAGGAAGATCCTCGCATTTAAACTCGCACTAGCCTGCGTAGCAGGTGTTCAAAAGGGAAGGGAAAGAGGATTTGGGGTTTCTGAGAAGTGGTTTCGAGCCCAAATTCTCTTTACCTTCCCTTTCGAATGCCAGCCACACAGGCTAAACTCGCTGACTTGTGCATTTGTGAAAAAATAAAAGCCTGAAAAAATTCAGATTCGAACCAGGATTCCGGATTCCGGATTCGGGAGCCGGGACTCGAACCCTAACCTAGTGAGGCCTTTATTTAATGAGTATTGACACAGGCAATCGAGGAATATCACTGGAAATTAAGCTTAAAATGAGTGACAATGTTGTTGTGGAAGTAATTGCGGCTATTTTCTTTTTGCGGTAACTGACTTTACGTCAACCCTCTCACCCTCAACCTTCCCAGCAAAAAATGTTTAAAAAAGCTCGATACCGTGTTAACGGTAAGAGCTATTTTTGGTGGCCTTCGCAAAATAGATTTACCAGAGGATTTTGAATTTATTTATCAACTGTCATTTTTTTCAATATGTTTTCCTTACAGATACAATATGCACTAACAAGTGCAACGTGAACAATGCTCTCTTCAAAGAAGTCAGATCAGGTTAGAAGCTGCATTATTTTTTATTGGGCAGGGTGTAGCTATCTTAATATACTGTAAGCGCTCTATTGTAGCACAAACTTTGTTACTTGGGTGCCAGTCTTCATAGTTCATAGTGTCCTGCCAACCATTAGGCTCACAGGGAAAAATAACCGATTCCCATTTTTGGATATTTTTCGGTATTTAAAGAATACCCACAAAAATCCCAAATTTGGAAGAGTGAGACAAGTCCCAATCTGGGAACTTGGTTGGGAATTCCCTGGTTGGGACTTGTCTCACTTTGCCAAATTTGGGATTTTTATGAGTATTCTTTAAATACCCAAAAATATCCAAAAATGGGAATCCGTTATTTTTTCCTGTGGCTATGTTCACATTATACTAGATAGCTTTTCCTGCCGACACAAAAATCTATCCAGTATTATATGAAAACCAATCCGATATATGACCCTCCAATTTCAAAATTGGCACGGCGCACCTTTCACTCCATTACAAAGATCAGACGGAACAGAAATCACCGTTCTCAGACGTGAACAGAAGCCCCATCCCAGCAGGTTAAACACAGCGTGATAGCAGACTAAACATATTATCTGCTACACAGTTGCTTTTAGTGTTGTCATGCAACGCTCCTCCCGTGACAACACTAAACACAGCTGTGGCTGTATAGCAGACTAAACAGATATTGGGTATAGTGTGAACATAGCCTCAGTCTCACACATTGGTGAGTGGTGTTGCATGACGATATTAGTCTGCTATAAAGGCCGTTCTTAGTGTTGTCATGCAACACTCCTCCTGTCACAACACTAAACACGGCTGTGGCTGTATAGCAGACTAAACAGATGTTGGGTGTAGTGTGAACATAGCCTCAGTCTCACACATTGGTGAGTGGTGTTGCATGACGATATTAGTCTGCTACACAGCTGTTTTTAGTGTCGTCACGCAACACTCCTCCGGTCAGAACACTAAACACGGATGTGGCTGTATAGCAGACTAAACAGATATTGGGTATAGTGTGAACATAGCCTCAGTCTCACACATTGGTGAGGGGTGTTGTGTGATGATATTAGTCTGCTACACAGCCGTTTTTAGTGTCGTCACGCAACACTCCTCCGGTCAGAACACTAAACACGGCTGTGGCTGTATAGCAGACTAAACAGATATTGGGTATAGTGTGAACATAGCCTTAGTCGCACATAGTGGTGAGGGGCGTTGCGTGACGAGACAAAACGGCTACATTGCTAGATCAACACAACACTTAGTATCTGACAATAATTTAATACCTCTCAACTCAAGCGCGTTTTCCGTTTGAAAAGGAATGTGTCACGTGCTGCCTGTCATGCGCAAACCTTCCTAGCTCCCAAACAAACCTTACTCACACTTGACCAGGTCACGTGGTTTGAACCTACAAAAATCCATGTGCCGATGGAGCCGGACAAAAAAAATTGCCACTCTCATTACTAAACCTAATTGATAATTTGTTTTAGTATTCACCAAATCAGTGGATAGCAACTTTCACGCGTTCTGATTGGCTCCAGTAACTCGGAAAATCCTTTGACATTCACTGTTTTTGGACGAAATTCAAAATGGCTTCCCGTTTCGCAACAGTTTCGAAAGATAAAATGTTAGCGATAAATGAAGCAGCTGCACCAACAAATACCTAGAATAAGACAAAATTGAGCTTGTCGGTGTTTACTGGCTGGTAGAAAAAAAATTTCTGACTGAATTTGCAACAAAATCATAAAAAATGATTCCTGAAACACTGTCAATTGAAACGTAAACAAACTCTGGCTAAGTGACGTCGTTTGTTTACAAAAAGTTCCTTTTTGATTTTTTTCCAACTGATTTGGTAAATACTAAAACAACTATCCCCCTCAGGGTCGGTTCATAGCGCTTGATATATACCTCGACGCTTCGCGTGTCAGTATATATGCACCACTATTCACCTCCCCTTCGGGGGATAGTTGTATATTATTTTTGACATTTCAGAAATGACAAAAAAGTCGTAAGCCCCGTCTGGCAACAGTTTTAATTATTCTGACTCTGCGGGATGTAAAAGACACACAAGGGACGTAACAAATTTCTGACATTGATCCCCTCCCGGCCCTCCCCTCCCCGTGATCTTGGGTGGGCAATCCGTAGGAAAAGATCTTAATTCAGGGATAAACCCTCGGATTCTCCTTCGGGGTGATTAAGCAGCTGCCTACAAACATACATGGGATATGAGTTTTTTAGGTTTACCTCGGTGTATGTAGCCTCGGAATGCAGATGTATTTCTGGTCGTCCCTTTTCTCCACCCGGAAGTAAGAAAAGCGACGACCGGAAATACGTCTGCGTTGACAGGTTACGGTGTAAGAACCTGGGAACTAATTCTTTGCCTCGCACCTTTTGTTGTTTTTTTTGGTTCTACTGTCTTGACTTCTTTGTTTTACGTTACTCGTGAGTTTTACAGGTTCTTATACACCGAGGGTGAGCCAGTTTTTTTTAGGAGTTTTGGTTTGTTTCATTTTCAGGTTCAAAAAGGAATTGAGACGATCACTTTAAAGTAAATTGCCACAGATGTTTTCCATAATGGAGGGTGCGTAGCACCGCACACACTGAACGTCTAAAAATAATCTATTTTCATGTTTTAAATTATTTCACATGAAACTGTATATGTAATGTCTGTTAGTACAGGATGTATTTTAATGTGTATAGACAGGGCCAACGGGCTTCTGGGATAGTACATTCTGTTGACAGCTTTTCCTTTGTATTTCTGTTCGTGAATAATGTGATACAAGGAAACTTTAACGTTTATACCATTGTTCTGAGTCTAAATTTAACTTCTTTTCCTAGTAAGTGAAAAGAAGGCTCAAGGCTGTAAGAGTAACCACGTATGGAATAAAATACGTCAGGCATTCACAGTTTTAACAAGTGATGTGCAAATAATTGTTTTTCTTCAGCCAGGGTCATGCGAAGTAGATGCGTTGAATGTGAGCTCGACGCTGTAGTGAAGCGTGGGCGTTTTTAGTTGCTTTATTTCATACTACTTTTCTGGTCCCAGGATTATTGATTTCTTTTTTATTGGGCTGCCTGTGGCAAACCCACAGGACCACGCTCAATCAAGGAATGAGAAGCAACATTCTTCCATGGTCTTCCATGGTAAGTCGAAAAAAGACAAAATGGCGGGCTAATCTCCCAGTAGGCATTGCGTGTCCCTTTCCCCCTGCAGCTGAGCCGATTTTTAAGGGAAGGGGATGGGCCATTTCATATAAAAGGCTTTCAAAGTGCTATGCTTACGCCAAAAAGGAAGGAAAAAAATAACATCGTAGTAAACCCATCGAAACTTTTTGCCTAAAGTCGCCCTACCTCATAGACAAATTTAACTTGTTAATGGAATTAGAATACAAAAGCAGTGAAAGCTAGTAGTACGTTATTTGTTTTAACTCAGCTATGCAGATAGATCTTTAAAAGAGATGGCACTCTTATCTTGATAACAAACAAACACAGTAAATTTACGGCACAGAATTTTTGCAGCCCAATACACGCGTAGTATACGCGTCTTGTCTCAGTAAAATCACTAAATTTGTCGTAAGGCTCTGATTACCCTGGGTTCCAGAGGTTGTTCCTCGCGTGCGGCGGGCGGGATGCTTCGTTGTCGGCCGCTGGCCGAGAGATCTTCGGCCGACCGAAGGCCGAAGCCACGAGCAGCAATACCTTGCGGGTCACTTAGAACCGGTAACTGGACATGAAAAGTCTCTGGCACTTAGGGTAGCCTCTGACTCCCTATGGAAATTCTTTTCTTCAAGCAAACCACTTCCTATGTTGAAATTTGTAGCTTCTGTCTTTATCGCTGCTGCTGCTTAAACGAGAAAATTAAAAACCTGCAAAGTATTCGAGAATCTTCCCCCTGGACGGTGGTGCAGCTACTGCCATTGTTGACCAAAAAATTAAAATCATCTCAGGGGCATCCAACGAGAGTATAGTTCAAAACTACTTAAACACATAGCATTGTTAAACTCATTTTAGTATTTAAACGGTAGATATAGGGATATTTTTGTCCCCGAAAAATTGTCCATCTGTTCGGATTTCCTGGCTGAAAGTCTAGTGATCCGAAAATTATAGGGATCAAAACTTACCTTTTCGAAAATTTCAGCCAGAAAAAAGGCTCCCGAAAATTCTAGGTGACCTTTCTAGGGTAAAAACCGGTTAAAAATGGGCAATTGTACCATTTTTTAGATGTTCGGAAATCCTAGGAGAGGCAGGCAAGCAAGGAATTTTACAACAAATGTTCCGAACAAATTCTAGATCTCAAATCGTCTTCCGAACAGATATTTTCCGAAAATTGTCGTTGGGTACCCCTGAACATCTTGCCCCTCTCTAGATATACATTGTAGGGAGGTGGCCGTTAATGACTTGAGATCCCCAGGCGAACAAAACTGCATCCGAGAGGGGAGGGGTGGCCTCAAAGTCTTCCTTTCCTTGCTCTAAGGCACTGTAGCCACCCCTACACCAGATTCTTGCTCCCTTTAACACTGAACGAGAAAAAAAATATATGGTCCATTTGGGCGACGGCGTCGTTTGATCCCAGGAATTGCGGGACCCGCTGGACCAACCAACAAAGCATGTTACGCCACGTAAAAACGTTAAAACCCTTTCGCACCGTTGAAATATTTCCTTTTCTTCAGTTCTTTAAGATTTAAATGTCGATTGTGGTCAAGCAGAAGTATTAACTTCCCCCCCCCCCCGACCCCAAACCTGGGGAAGAAACCCAGGGTAATTGACTTGCTGATGGACGCGGAAAGGCGGGAATTTGACAACAGTGACTGCTATTGGGGTGTTGAACTTGATGGCATCTGGGATTCGAAGAGGATTGAAACAAATTGTCTCAGTCATGTTAAACTTTTTTTGGTGTTGTTAAAGTGTAGTACCTTGATAAAAATTAATTATGGCGGGTATGGAATATTGGGAAACTTGTGTTTGTTTCTGTTTCTCCTATTTTCCTTGTTGCTGTTGCTAAGCAAGGCCCAGGGGTCGGGTATATGACAGGAAATCTGCAACAAAAAAGTCCATTTTGGAGTCAACTCTCGCCTTGCGGACACCCCGCTATAACGTACACCCCGGTAATACGGACAACAGCTAAATCCCAGGAAAAAATAGACTATATTATTATATAGACACGAGTGTTTTACTGGAAAATATACCACTCGTAAAATTCATAAAAACCACATCCGGGACCCGAGTGGTTTATTTTCCATAATCTTTTATCGATGACGTAATTTCGGTAATTTCCCTCTATTATTTTATCGATGTCTTTTTGTCTATATAATGAAAAGAACATTACACGGCGGCTTGAAGATATGAATTTCATTTTCTCATGGCAAAAACAATATTTTACTCGCTCGCTGCGCTCGTTCGTAAAATACTGTTTTGAATTGCCACTCGAAAATAAAATTCATATTTTCGCGCCACCGTGTAATATCCTCTATATATACAGACGTTTGACTAAAATAAACTCCCGCTATTACGGACTCTCGCTAATGAGGACACTATCTCAAGGCCCATACAGTGTCCGCTATAAAGGGAGGTGACTGTACTTCCAAAAAACTCCCACACACACTCATACAGTGTGAGCCACGTCAGAGGGTCAATCACAAGGCATATCAGTATTCAGCAGTTTTCGGAGAAAAACAGGAAGAATCAGACCAACTTAATAATAATAATAATAAAATATTTATATAGCGCTTATACTTTTCAGTGCTAAGCGCTTTACAATACTTCAGAAAGGTCTGAATAAAAAAAAAATCTTAAAATCATTACATATATATACATATATACATAGTCACAAAAATACAAATTAAAAAACCTAAGATAGTTCATAAACTCGTTTAAAAAGAAAGGTCTTCAATTTAGAGTTAAACTTATTTACATTATCGATCGATCTAATGTCAATAGGCAAATCGTTCCATAGTATAGGGGCAATGACTGAAAAAGCCCTGAAACCGTATGTCTTTAAGTTCTAAGGCTTAATAACAAAACGCCACTTGTCTGAAGATGATCGAAGGCACCTCGCAGGTTCATAAACATGGATTAGGTCAACCAAGTAATCAGGAGCTAAATTGTTGAGTATCTTAAAACAAATAAGATTAATCTTAAAGATTATTCTTTGCTCCACTGGTAGCCAGTGCAACTCCATTAGAGTATCACTTATGTGATACTCTAGTGGAGTATCTTTGCGGAAGATTCCATCAGTTGTCTACGCAAGCCCAAGGGGGGCGACATAGTGATTTCTTTTTTATTTTTCACTTTTCCATTTTTGTTTTTAACTTTTTGATTTTTACTTCGCCAAAAGTGAAAAATAAAAGCGAAATCACTATGTGGCCCACCTGGGCTTCCATAGTCTACATCACCGGTTTAAAGATCTTTTTTATAGCGTTTCGTTTTTTTGTTCAGAGATTTTGTTGATAACTGTATATTAGATTTCACGCTTCGTATGCTGTATAAATTGTCATGGTTGCTTGCATTTTGGGAGCTATTTCTGTAAGCACTTCCGTCACTTTTGTTGACGTCACACGTAGCTTGATCAAAGTGAAACCATAGTTAGTAGATGAGACTGGTTGGGAAACCCGGCAAACATGAAAGTTGATATTAATAGTGCTGTAGGTTTTGTTGGAAGCTCTCTGACCGTGCACAATCCTTTGGTTTTTGTTCACAGATTGTGACTGAATAAATTAATGCAATGTTTATATTGGTCAGAAAGTTCAAAATGATAGGAATGCTATTGAACGTTGTGCATGGTCAGGTCCAAAACAGCTAACAAAAACCTACAACAAAAGGTTTCCCAACCATTCCACTTTAATTAACTATGGTGAAAGTGAAAGCTAAATGAAGGGAAAAATCCCTCATACAAGATTCATCTTTCACTTAGTAAAAGTTTTGATTGACGCTCAGGTTAGTTTTGTGCAGGTCCCGTTATTTCATTTGTGAAGGAAAATTCAATTGACTTTTTTACATAAACTTGTCTTAACAAAGTATCATTTCCTCGAAGACCCTTTTGTCGTCACGAATCAAGGACCCACTGCTGTAGTCTTGCGAACTATCAAGATTCGGGAATTTACAGCTGAGGTATGCATTTAATACGTTAGCTTCAGGTACACCTCAATTGATTAAGAAATGCCCTTGGCTTTATTCGCTGGGATTTTTTCTGACGAGCTTTAGATCAGTCGAAGTCGGCACGATCGTTTATATTTGGAGATGGCAAGACACAATTTTCAGCTACCGTACCCTGATCGAAGAAAAATCAAGACGGTATGGGAGCGTACACTTCGGTGTCGTGGTTGTGGATTAGTTGTGAATGCGGAGGAATAGTAAGAAATGATATTTTTCCGGATACCCTTACCTTTCTTCTTTTCTGTAAGAGACGAAATCTTAACTTTTTCACCGGAAGTCTGCTACAGTCTCAGTCAAAATTGTTGGGACACTTTGCCATTTGCACAGGGAGTTTACATTAGATAACAAAGATTCTTATACCTCTGTGATTGCTGTAATCTGTTAATTCTCCGCGTGTTAGTTATCCGTCTGTGATCATTTGAGTCGGTTAATGGCAAAACAGTTCCCTTGGATCATCCCTTTCGCTTAGTTATGGTCTAGAAGTTTCGTCGTCGGTTATTTAATATTTCTTATTACAAACGATTTGTTTAAAAGGATTCCGTACTCTTTGAATGGTAATTTTAATGCTTACGTAACAACAAAAAGGAATTGCACATACGGTCAATGGAAATCCAGCGTGGATGTGGTTCTTAAAATCTAAGTTGTTATACGCGGGTTTTTACTGTATCGATAATGATAAAACAGAACCATCAATGAGTTCCCACCCTGGGGGGAGAAAAACTCCGAGCTGTTTGCTTACTGATGAGCACGGAAAGCGAGAATTTGTCTAAAGGAGTAAGGGATTTCTAAGGAAGGAGGGGAGGAAGAGGTTGGTAATTTGATACCACGTTATTAGTGGAGGATTAAAAACGGCAAACTGCCTCAATACACTACAATCTCTTGTAGTGAATTCGTATCAACTTGATAAAATTTTAGCGGATATATAAAGTTGGGAGGAGTTTGAGGAAAAACTATCTTTCGCAATATTACGAGTTAAATTTGTCACCAGACCGGTTGTCAAGCAAGTCCCAGGGGTAGGACATATGACAGCACATCTGCGATGTCAATTGAAATTCCATTTTACTTCAAGTCGAATCACACACAAAGTGACTGAACCTCGTTAGAAGGGCACTCATCCTGCACGAATCATATCCGGCAGTATATTCAGAGAAAAACAAAGTCTCAGACCAAACTTCCTCAGTGGAAGATTCCATCAGTCTACAGCATCTGTTATAAGATCGTTTTGTGAGTTTTTTGTTAATTTGTTCAGAGAAATATTAACAACTGTATATTACAATAAATGTGACCCCTCATATGCTTCATTAGTTTTCAAATTTTCCTGGATGGCTGCATTTTGGGAGCTATTTCTGGGAGCACTTATGTCACTTTTGTTGACGTAATTTAGTTGATCAAAGTGAAACGGAAAGCTTTTAAATTATATTAAAGGAACGGAAAATCCCATAAGTTCAACATTTTCTTGGTAGAGGGGCTGATTGTTGCTTCATGTAAGGTTTGTACAAGTGCCTGTTATTTGTGGAGGAAAATACAATTGACTTTTATACTTAAACTTGTCGAACAAAATATGATTTGCTCGTAGATCCCTTGGTAGTGACAAGTCAAGCGAAGTATCAAGACTATTTGGGAATTTATAACTGAGGTACGCATTGCACAGGCTGAAATTTTACTCAAACTCCAAGGTTCCTTATTTCGTTGTATACCTGCCACCACTCACGACTGCGGACTAAAGACATCAATCTTGCGCATCAAGGACCATTCAGCTGACAATTTCTCACGCCTGACTCGCAAATTACTCGTGCATACATGGTTATCATCCCACTCTGTATGAAAGCTAAATGAAGGGAAAAATCCCTCATACAAGTTTCATCTTTCACTTGGTGAAAGTTTTGATTGACGCTCAGGTTGGTTTTGTGCAGGTCCCGTTATTTCATTTGTGAAGGAAAATTCAACTGACTTTTACACATAAACTTGTTTTACAAAGTATCATTTCCTCGTAGACCCTTTCGTCGTCACGAATCAAGAACCCACTAGTGTACTCTTGTGAACTATCAAGATTCGGGAATTTACAGCTGAGGTATGCATTTAATACGTTAGCTGTAGTGACACACTGACACCTCGGTTAATTTTGAAATGCCTTTGGCTTTGATCGCTGGGAAACGTTCTGACCAGCTTTAGATCAGTCTACATCGGTACTATATATCGATATTGATGAAACAGAACCATCAATGAGTTTCCATTCGGGAGGAGAAAAACCCTGAGCTGTTTACTTACTGATGAGCACGGAGGGTGAAAATTTGTCTGACTGCGTAGCAGGCGTCAAAAGGGGTAACGGGATTAGAGGGAACAGAGGGAGGGAGGGGTTGGTAATTTGATGCCATCGGATTAGTAGAGGATTAAAACCGGTAAACTGCCTCAATCTCATGTAATGAAATCATATCACCTTGATAAAATGAAATCATATCACCTTGATAAAATTTTTGCGGATATAAAAAGTTGGGAGGAGTGTGAGGCAAAATTAATATTTCATAATATTACGACCTAAATTTGTCACCAGTCCAGTTGTCAAGCAAGTCCCAGGGGTAGGGCATATGACAGCACATCTGCGACGTCAATTGAAATTCCATTTTACTTCAAATCACACACAAAATGACTGAGCCTCGTTCGAAGGTCACTCATCCGGCACGAATCATATCCGGCAGTATATTCAGAGAAAAACAAAGTCTCAGACCAACTTCCTTAGTGGAAGATTCCATCAGTCTACAACATCTGTTATAAGATCTTTTTGTGAGTTTTTTGTTATTTTGTGCAGAGAAATATTAATAACTGTATATTAGATTTAATGTGATCCCTCATATGCTTCATTAGTTTTCAAATTTTCCTGGATGGCTGCATTTTGGGAGCTATTCCTGGGAGCACTTAGGTCGGTTTTGTTGACGCAATTTAGTTGATCAAAGTGAAACGGAAAGCTTTTAAATTATAACGGAGGGGAAAATCCCATAGGTTCAACAATTTCTTGATAGAGGAGTTGATTGTTGCTTTATGTAAGTTTTGTACAAGTTCCTGTTATTTGTGAAGGAAAATGCAATCAGTGACTTTTATACTTAAACCTGTCTTACAAAATATGATTTGCTCGTAGATCCTTTGGTCGTGACAAATCAGGCGAAGTATCAAGACTATTTGGGAATTTATAACTGAGGTACGCATTGCATAGGCTGAAGTTACACTTAAGGTTCCTTTATACGGTGGCTCGTAGGGACATAACACTTCCCAGAATCCAAAAGTGTTTTGGATTCTGGGAATTATTTTGGATTCTGGGAAGTGTTTTGTCCCTATGAGTCTACGAAATTTGAATTTTCTGAAATGTTTCCGCTGGCCCGGTTTGTAGTTTGTTGACAACAAATTTATTTTTTCAGTGGAAGGTAGATGAATGTATAATGAGTAGATAGACAATTTTTATTATATAAACACCAATAAAATACCAAGTGAGCTTTCGCGCGAAAACTTGATATCTTCACATGTGAAAATAACATGTTATCTTCACATGTGAAAATGTCATCTTTGAGTTAGCCTCATAATAAACCGCACCTTTGAGACCAAAAAACTATTTAAGTGAAATGGTTGGTACTTCATTGGTGTTCATATAATAAATAGAACATGACATGGTTGCTTGGAGATACGAAATTTCTCTTCTCGTGTTGAAAAAAAAAAATTTCACGAGTGAGCGAAGCAAACGAGTGAAATATTTTTCAACACTCGAAGAGAATCTTCCCATCTGCGCGCGGCCATATAATATCCTCTATATATACACCATGTTTAAACAATGGTAAATCTGTTTCTTTGTTGTTGTTGTTTTTTTAATTTCGATCATTATCACCAAACGAATGTTAACATTTTCCTTTTTTAAAGAAGACCCCAGTCCATCAAGTCATATTATCCAACGATGAAAAACACGTAGAAGGATCCCTTTTTGAGGCAAATCAAATGCGACTGTGATAGACAAAAACGAAGAGTAAAGGAGCTAATAAATAAGCTTTTACTCCAGCTTTTAATTTTACTTTTCAGACCCTCTTCGTTATCGTACATAAAGAGAAATGGTATCAGCAGAAAAAAGAAGCCACAATATGTGGCTGAGCTGAAATAGCAAAGCGAGCAAAAACAAACATGATAACCACAGCTATTAATGGTAATATTGGCGACCCCTTTGTCAACTTTAAAGATTTCCAGCACGCCCTAGGCATCGCCTATTACAGTCTGGGAGATTTCCGGAAAGCCATAGAGTACCATGAACGACACCTCAAAATTTCGAAAGAAGGGGGAGACAGGGCAGGAGGAGGAAAAGCGTATGGTAATCTTGGCAACGCCTATCACACTCTTGAAGATTTCCAGGAAGCCGTTCCATGTTATAAGAACAGTGTTAGAGCCTTCGACCACATTAGGAGAAATCTCATATGTAACGACGAATGGAAGATTACCCTTAAAAGTACGTATGATCATATCAATTTGAGGCTGTGGGAGCTGCAGTTTAAGGAAGGTAAAGTCATTGAGGCACTTTTAACTGCTGATCAAGGACGTCCACAAGCTTTAAATGATCTGGAGTTCAATTATGGCCTTAAAGGGTTACGCCCATAGATAGGAACACTTTCTGCAAGACCAAGTGACTTTGCTAGTTACTTACCACCAAATACAGCTTTCATGGGTATCACCGAGGGAGGAATAGTTTTCTGGGTGAACGAGAAAGGAAATGAAATCAAAACTAGAAGAACTGAGATTGATATGTCCGTCACAACCTATTTTCAGTCTCTATTGGAGGCTACACGTAAAGAAATAGGTGAAAGAGCTGATGTTAATTGTGAAGATCGCTGATTAAGTAACCCAAGCGATAAGACGTTAGCAGAAAAAAGATGAAGTAAGCCAAAGTCTCATCCTTCATATTTTGAGACAAAGTCATCGCAAACATTTTACAATGTTGTCATAGACCCTATAAGAGACTTAACCCAGGGCGATGAGGTTGTGATTGTTCCACAAGGACCTCTGTGTTAGGCGCCTTATGCTGCTTTCATGGACTTGAAATCAAAGTACCTCTGTGAAACGTTTAGAATTCGTCTGCTCCCCTCGTTTTCTAGCCTGTAATTGATCCAAAATTGTTCAGCAGATTGGCACAGCCAGACCGGCGCTCTTCTCGTCGGCGATCCGTGGGTACAGGAGGTAACGACGCTAGGGCAGTTAGAGTGGGCCGAAAAAGAAGTGCAGATGATTGAGGAAATACTTCAAACGGAACCTCTCGTTGGAACGAAGGCAACAAAAGATGAAGTTTTGAGACGTATTTCCTCGGTTGCTTTGGTGCACATTGCTGCTCACGGTAAAATGGAAACAGGAGAAATTGCCTTGGCCCCTAACACAACACGTTCACTCATGAATCCAGTCAGGGAGGACTATCTCTTAACTATGAAAGATGTTTTAAAGGCGCAGATTAGGGCAAGACTTGTTGTACTTAGCTGTTGTCAAAGTGCTCGGGGAGAAGTCAAATCTGAGGGTGTGGTCGGCATCGCACGAGCTTTTCTGGGTTGGCGATCGACGACGAAGCTACTATGGAGTTCATGAAAGTTTTCTACCAGCAACTAGTTCATGGACGAATTGCCAGTGAGGCCCTGAATAAAGCCATGAAATCCATGAGAGAATCTGACCGCTTTAGCGCAGTGAAGTACTGGGCGCCGTTTGTTCTCATTGGTGATAACGTAACGCTCGAGTTTGAAGGCATCGATTAAATAGCAAGGTATTTTGGGATATATTTAAACCTGGGATCATAATCCCTGCATTTGCAATCGTCATTTTAACTTGCAATTATTTGTGTCGTTTTATCGGACAACGAACTCAACCGGTGCTTCGTGTAGCGTCAATCTGCCAATCACAGGTCACGTTGACAGTAACAAAGGAGACTTTGTTTGGCAGTTAAACACTACAAATTGAATTTATTTCAAGTCTCATGATTTCTTTACATTTCAAAGTGTCCTTGGCCCTGTTTGAGTTCGTTCCATCGTAACTTACAGTGCAACCTGACATATGCGACCACCCAAAATTCGGAGATGAAATTTCCGGTCGCTTAGGAAAGTGTCCAGCGGTACTTACCTACATAAGAAAACCGGAATTCCGGTTGGAAAACCAAATGGTTCGAGCCATTTTTGCTAGCAAATTGTTTTCGCAATTTAGCAAAAAAAATGATTCTGTAATCACAAGAAAATTTTGTGGACACCCACTAGCAAATATCGCAAGAGTAGCATGAATGACCAATTTAACAAAATTCTAAACTTAGAGAGAGAAAAGCCCAAGAACTGCCTCGAGAAGTCCGCAAATTTCGCAGAAATCGCAAAAGTAACAAGAATTTTTCTTGCTTTGTAAAGAGACTGAGTAACAAATATGGCAAAATAGCAGGAGTAACAAATTTAACAAAATTCTAGACTTAGAATCCTGAGAACTAAAGGGCCCCGAGAAGTCCACAAATGTCGATTGTTAGTCTTGCTATTCTTGCGATATTTGTTACTCAGTCTCTGAAAATGTGGTTCTTTGCTCGAAATGATTTCGAAGTCGCTACCTGAAACCACTATCCTTCTGCTAACTATCTAACGGTGCTTTTGCTGTTTTTGTTGTTGTTCTTATTAAGGTACGATGAAGAATGCAGTAAACAAGTTCCTAGCTATCTGAAGTGGAAGTCAGTTTAATTTTTGACACAATCATTACCAACCATTACGGTGTTGAGTGTTCCTCTCAAGGATCGCAGGTCTTTATCTCTTGAAGAGAAAGAAAATGATGCTTTTCGTTCCGATTTATTTGTTCTTGTCACATTACAGGTTGTTGTATTTACATAAATGCACAGAAAAAGATGGTGACGGGGAAGCCTGGGGCTTATATAGGGTCCAGGCTCCCCCTAGGTTAGTTTAACTAGACAGTGGGGTATTTTGCCATTTTATAAATGGAAAGGTATAATATTCATTCTCAGTTCAAAATTGTGCATCAGATTCTCTCCAAATCTCTGCGTAGTTTTGTCCACTATGAAAGAAGAACATCTAGGCTGATGCACAGCACGTGAATCGTGGCATTTTCTGTAATGAAAGACACGCGCCACTTCCCAATTAACTTTATCGGCCTCGTAGAACTCTTCGATGGGTTTGCTAATGTGATATATTCCTTGCTCGAAAATTCTCCGCGGATCTACGATGCACTTGGTGTAATATGAAGTCACTTCACGTGTTCGGTAGAAAACGCGTTGTGTAATTAAATGTGATCCGTTTTGGTCTGTTGAAGGATCCAAAAGGACGCTTTCAAACCACTGTCCACAATGGTTTTCTTTATGAATGTACCTAACAATGCGGTTATGTTCTCATGGCGAACGGGTACAATGAATTCATCCAAGTCATGAAGCGCAACAAAGTCGAAATGTCGCATAGAGCGAAACAAACACTCCCAGATGGCGATGGTTGACCAAAATAGAACAAATCGTTTTTTTCCAATGTACAAGCGTAAATTCCATGGGAAGACACTCACTAAACCTAGATCTTGATAATAATTCAAGACGTTTCGCACACTCTCAGATATTGATAAATCGTAAAATGTAAAATGTGAAGCTCCCAAAATCTGCGTGAGTTCTAAAAACTCAATAATTTTTCCAAAAGAGATTTCACCGTGAACAGGAGGGATACAAATGCCATATTTCTTTTGAATTCTGCCTTTCTCATCACCGATAGAACGAACTGGAAAGACCATGCATTACTCTCGCTACGTTCCGCTAATGTTGCGGAAATGTTCACAAAGTATGGAATATTGTCAAGACGTTGTGGAAGAACACAGGAAGCTATAAAGTATGCAAAGCGCCGTTGGTAACTTTCGTTGTGCTTATAGAACGAGGCTTCAACGGCAAAAGTTTCCTGTTTTGATGCACTTTTAAATAGGCAAGTTAGCGACGGAACTGTTTTTTTTCAAGGACAGCAACAAAATTCTCATAAAATGCGGCGATTTTGGATCGTCAAACCACACCGAGTACACCAGCGCCTCTTTGACAATCTCGCGAAATCTTGGCTTTTCTACAATTTCAGGACAATCGTACTTCTGTTTTTTATCCTTCCCTTGCGCGGTATCCGAAACCGTGTTGTTCACCTTTCTGTTGTTATAGCTAAGAGGTAAATGTTTCCCGCCGAAGTCACTGCTTCGACTCGATTTATCCTTTACATGTTCATAGCCCGTAATTCCAATGGATGGCCCTTCCAGGCGCAACTGTTTCTCAGCACCAAAACTTGTACGGTCGCGGTCACTATTTCGGTTTGAGTTATCCTTATAATGTTCATTACTTGTCAGAATTCCTGTTAAGATTCAACTTGAACGTCTGTGACAGCCACAAGTTTCTTAAACGCAACTTGAACTTTAATTTCTACCAGACACTTAAGAGAACTCCGTTACAGATCGGTTCACGACAAAAAAGCGCACACTGGTATGTTGAAACTGCTTATATAACCAGAAGACAAAAAACCTGTTTATTCAGTTCTTATCTTGTCATAGAAAGTTCTAGAAAACATTACGTCATATCCTAGTTGGGTCCTTAACATGAACAAATAGTCATAACAAAGTACTCAGCGTAAACGTGTCTGTTCTTTTGCGAGTGTTTCTTCCTCAACACTCCTTCTCACTCGCAGGTGGAACAAGACGGCATCTCATCCAATCCAGACATCTTTCGTAATTTCCTGAGCTGTTCACGACCCAGGCCTTTAGTAAGCATATCCGCAACCACTTCTTCTGTACGGCAGTAGCTCAGCTCCACATTTCCATTCTCCACCTGTTCCCTGATGAAATGGTACTTGATTCCAATGTGTTTTGCGCTCCCGTGAAATTGATGGTTCTTGGCCAAGCAAATCGCTGATTGGTTGTCTTCATAGATCCTTGTTGCTTCTTCTGGGTTGCTTCTTTTAATCAGTCAGAAGTTGTCGCACCCAGACTGCTTCTTGCGCTGCACTTGCTAAGGCTATGTATTCGGCTTCCGCGGTCGAGATAGCACTGCGCATGCCTGTTTCGTACTTCTCCAGCTGATTGCTGCACCACTTCGTATCCGGAAGTTGGTTTGCGATCATCTAGGTCTCCTGCCCAGTCAGCATCCGAAAATCCTACACAACTCTTTAACTCATTCTTCTTATAGAGAAGTCCTAAGTACATTGTTCCAACCAAATAGCGCATGATACGTTTGACTGCAATCCAGTGTTCCTTGGCAAGGTTTGCACAAAACTTGGCCACATTACTCACTGCATACGTAATATCCGGTCGTGTCGTAGTTGACAGGTACAGAAGACTTCCAACCGCTGATTCAAACTGCTCTCCGCCAGTGCTTTCTGAGTCTTCGTTCATCTTAGCAAGTTTTGAGCTAGCGTCTACTGGGGTATCAACTCCCTTAGCATTCTCCATGTTAAATTTGCGCAGGATCTTTTGGGTGTGGGCTGCTTGTCCAATCCAAACGTCTCCATTTTGTTTGTTCTGCAACACTTTGGTTCCCAGAAAATGGTTCAGTTCTCCCATGTCTTTCACTTCAAACTTATCACCGAGAGCTTTCTTTACGTCCCCGATGCGCTTGTCGCTTTTTGCAGCTAGCACTAAATCGTCCACATGAACGGCAATCATGAACATCTCTCCTTCTGAGGCTACATAGATGCACCGGTCACTAACCGATTGAACAAAACCAAGCTTCTTTAAGTGCTGATCCAGCACTTGAGTTCCAGCATCTTGATGATTGTTTTAAACCATAGATACTACGTTTCAACTTGTAGACCAAATGCTCTTGACCCTTAACAACAAAACCCTCTGGCTGTTTCATATACACCTCGTGTTTTAAATCACCATTAAGCTTCAAATCAGTTTGCACCGCCAACGCAATCACTGTTCTGACTGATTCAAATCTGGCGACAAGGGAAAATGTCTCATCATAATCAATTCCAGGTTTCTGAGAAAAACCCTGGGCTACAAGCCGTGCTTTGAAACGTTCCACAGATCCCTCGGCATCTGTTTTGATCTTTAATACCCACTTGCTTCCAACAACTTTTCGCCCCTTTGGCAAATCCGCCAGCTCCCAAACATCATTCTTTCGGAGGGACTCAATTTCCTTCTACATTGCATTCATCTACTTCGCCTTCTCCGGGCTACTCAGTGCATCATTAACGGTCGTTGGCTCAGTTAACTCAGCATTTGTGATACTTGCCCAGTCTCCATAGTAATCAGGTGCTCTCTTCTCCCGGTTTCATCTTCACAACACTGGTCCTGCTCCCTCTTCAGTTGTGTGTTCTTTATCAGCTACATGTTCCTCATCATCGTGAAAGTCCAATTCCACACACCGCTCACTGTTTCTTTCTGGGACACTTTGCTCCTTCTCGATCCCGCGGCTTGATTCATCGAACACGGCATCCCGGCTATAAAAGATTCTTTCGCGCCTTAGATCATACAGTCGGTAACCCTTTCTCTCAGTCCCATAGCCTAGAAGTACACACTTCCTTGATTTTGCATTCAGTTTCTGACGCTCATTCTTAGCTACATGAGCATACACAGCACATCCGAAAACTCTAAGGTGTCCCTCATTTGGTTTCTGTCCTGTCCAGGCTTCAAAAGGTGTCTTCACTTCCGCTATAGTTGTCGGACTTCGATTTCGCAAGTACACGGCTGCTGACAGTGCTTCAGCCCAGAAACGATGTGTAAATTGTAAATTGTAAATATCTTATTATCCATTCCCCACAGGGCTTTT